TCGAGAAATCTCCTTCTGATCAGAAGATGTAACAAACACGAGACGTCGTCTAGTGTGATAGTCATCTCACCATGTGGGAGATGAAACGACGAGGTCTTAGAGTGTCATCTCTCCACGAATGCATTAAGCATCCCGTGGTTGACCAGAGTGTAACTGATCATGCATGTGTCCTTCAAGCCAGATAAGGACATAATTGACTGAAACAACCTCATTCCGTTGAGGCAATGCAACAATCTTTCTCATATGGTTAAGAAACTTATGGGGATCACGCTCCTGAAATTTATAAAAAAATAATCAATGTCAACAATTAAAATTAACACATAAAAAAATAAATAATCCAACTAATGCTACCTCTCCGTCCCATTTATGTCTGACAGTATGGTCTAGATATAGAGGAAGTAAGGGCAAATCAAATGGATCTTCTCTAAAATCCTCTGGCTCAGCATCTGAAACACCCTCACTCTCCTGAAGTGGAATTGGATCAGCAACATCACAGTGGGAGGTGGGTCTGAAACAACAGCATAATTCGTAGGAGGTAGCACTGGTGAATCCCGACGCCTGCAGGAGGATGGGGGAAGTGACGCGTCAAATGATGAATCTCGTCTACTACGCAAAGAAGAAGAAGATGAAGTGGCCTAAGGTGAAGCATGAGCCCCAAAGTAGACAGCACCCCAAAAGTCGACGACTCTGCCTGGCAAGAGGTACCTGGAGCCTCTAAAACCTGCTAGATCCGCTCTCGTCGTACGAATGCGTGCTGAGCAACCTTGCCATGTCGCAGTCTGTCAACTCTGTCAGTCATTATGCATGTAAGGAAAAGTAAGGCATATCATTAGTGCACACAGACAACACACACAAGAAAGATTTTTTTTTTTAAATACTGGAGAAAATTCCGGAGATGCATCTCTGGAAGCACTATTAAACTAAAACGTTGAAACATTATGGAGATGCATCTCCGGAAGCACCATTAAACTAAAACGTTGAACAATTATGGAGTTGTATCTCTGGAATTTTCTGTAGTATATGAAACGTTGAAACATTTCAGAGATGCATCTCCAGAATGTTCTGCAACTCAGAAGTTGCGTCAATGACAAATGTACCACATGCAAGTTGAAAAAATATGATATAATCACGAATTTCAGACAACAAACAAGTTATACACTATGTCTAAAATGTGTTACATGTGATTCTTACACATTTCTAACCCTAATCATTGATTTCTAAACATTTACACTAAAACTCTAAATTTACCAAAAATTTGAAAAACTTATTTGAAAATTACGGTTTTGATGAAGTTGAATGATGTTATAGATCATGTTTGATGTTCTTTTGAGTTCTTTTGAATCTTGCTTGATAAAATTTGATCTAATATAACGAAATGTATTAAAAAGAGTCTTAAAATTGTGTTTGAAGAAACTATAAAATGAGTCCAACACTACTTATACTTCAAAATATTCTAAAAATATATTTTCAAAATATTTTAATATTCACTTGCATTTAAGCTGAATTTATGAAATGTTATATAACTCGCATCCAAAAACAGGTGGTATTTATAGAATTTTACATAATTCAATAGAAATACTAAGAATGTATTTAAGAAATTCTCGAAACAAAAACTAAAAATAAGGATTTGTACATTGAACCTATCCACCTAGATGCTAACGACAACTTTTAATCTCAATCTTTTCATGATTTATTTAAGTACATAGGAGCACTGATTCTAGTCAAGGTTGAAATAAAATAAACAAAATCCTTCGACTTTTGAGTGATGGCACTGTCCCATCTCTGAAGCAAAAATACAAGGACACTAAAGTACGGAATAGTTTAGGATAAGGTACGTAGTACATGTTTTTTGTTTTATTCATTTAAAGAGATTGAAAACTAAAAAAATGTATCACCAATAAAATAATTATGCTGCTAATCATGTGTTAGACAATGCCATGTGAATGAAAGCGACATGAGAAAAGATTAAAAAATTAAAAACTAAAAATGCCTCTGTGTTTTTGGTGCATTTATCTATCAAGTTTAACATAATCATCAAATTTAACTAAACTTTATGATGTAGGAACGTAATATCAATCTTTTTAAGAAGGAATTTTTAGATTTAAGGCTTGTTTGTTTAAAATTCTTATAAATAATTTTAGAAAATACACAAATTTTTTAACAAAACAAATATATTTTAACAAATATATTATATTAAATTCACAAAAATTAAAACAAATCAATCATACCAAATCATAAAATAGAAGTGCTACAATATATGAACAAAAGAACCGTACCCTCTTTAAAAAAATAACAAAATAAATCTTAGTTGGAAAAAACACCAAAATAGAAAAGCTGACTCTAGATAATCTATCAAGAACTCACACTCTAAAATAAAAACATTCATCCTTCTATCTGTTTAAACAAAAATAGGGTTTTCGAATCAAATTACCATTTACATGATAGAAATATACTCATATCTTCCACATAATTCAGTGGTAGAGGATGTAGAAAACACACTATTATTACGATATTTTCAAATTGAACATATCATAGAGTGTCAAATCATAACTAAACCATTCATCACTCTAACTTTACCATCTATCAATCTAATGAACATGAAAATAAAGCTAATATCTCTAGGAAGAACAAAACAACGTCCAAACTACCTAATGATCTCATACCAAATATATATTTCCAGGTCACAAGTCACAAGTAAATGACCAAACGACTCAGCACACCGACTAAACACCAAAAACAAGACACTCTCATAAACTACCATAACCCTACTCCTAGATAGATTAACTATAGTATGAATTTTCTTTTGAAGGAGTTGCCGGAAAAAAAATAAATACTTTAAAGGAACTCAACTAACTCAAATAAAAGGGAGAATATGATTCTCCGTGACATTTGGAGAATACCTAAATAAATTACTTTGGAGGAGACAAGAGTAAGTTAAAGCAACAAAGAAAACACCATCATCATCTGAGTGACTCTAAACCACCTGTCAGGAATACGGGATAAGGTCACATCCTAAAAGACTAGAAGAAGATTATGGGTCATGACATTCTGATAAACAAAGAGATTTTTTCCACCTCAAATTCTGAGTCAAATTACCATTCACAAAAATTCCAACCTGATATGTAGTCCAATCCTATTGGTTAGAGATAATGAACAACCTAAAAAAACTAAGAGCTAAATAAGTATTGTCTACCCATAGATCCTTCTAGAATGATGTTTGGAGGCTCGAACCCACTTTGAGACTTGCCACAAACATCTAGAGGCATCAACATCTCTAAAATTCATGAGAGACGCCACTTTTTACCAAGATGAGGTAGAAGTGAAATTAACAATCTACCACCAAAAGGGAAGGTGAACATTGTGCTCCATACCTTAAACATAAAATATCACAGACCATGAGATTCATAAACAAGTCTCTATCTCTACCATCCAAAAGGCCAAATTAATTAGGTGGAGATTCTGAATCCACAAACTTTCATAGTCTTAAGTTTACATATATCAGACTACCTATCTCAAACAATCTTAAACTTCTTAATAGCTTCCCCATAAAAAAAAAACTTTCTTTATCCTAACAATCTTTTGACAAGTCTTAAGAGACATCTTTAAAAAGATAAAAAAAAAATACATATAATATTAGTAATCAAATTAAATAAAATCACCCTACCTTTCAAACTAACATATCTATGCATCTATGAGCATTCTAACTCGTCTTTTATACTTATTAAAATTATAAAAATAAAACAAATCAACTAAACTTGATGAGTTTGATATTAGTTTGACAAAACAATCCATGTAAGTTTTGACAAATTAGAAAAGTGTAGTACATAATCCACTATTGGCATTTACTATTTTTCTCATATATTCTAACATGAAAGTATGATACATGTGAATTTTATTTTATCCTTATAGAAAGGGACAAAGCCATGTGACCCACCTCACTAATAATGGAACACTCCATCCATCTCTGCCTCCTCATGCCATATTATTATTATTATTATTATTATTAAAAACATCTACACCTACTAATTATCAAAACTAGACATAGAAGATAATGACAACTGGCACAAGAAAATATGTTTTCAACTTTCATTTAATGTGTGCCTTTAACATGTCCTCAAAGGGCTATCTATATGTAATATTATATGAGGAAATTATATTACTATATATAAAATTCTCAATTTAAAAAATATTTATTTTGAGACTAAATAGTTGAAATAATTTATAAGTTTAAAAGTAGTGTACTGAAAAAAAATTTAATTAAATTATTTTAAAATATTAAATTATATTAATATTTTAAAAATAAAAGTGTGATATAGTAGAATATTTGATAAATATTTTATAAATATAGAGTGAAGATAATTTTGCAACTGTTACCACAAGTGAGATACAATAGTTAAACTAAAAGGAATAAGAAAACAAATAAAGTACAAATTTAATAGTGTCAGATTCTTAGCTTGTTGTAAAAGATACAAAAACAAAACCAAACATAGATGAAATTAAACTTTTCCTATCTGTTTCCAACCACACCCCATGTTGTCATTTCCTCTTTTATTTATTCACCAAAACCCCATACTTTGTGACATCTCTGATTTCTTTGTTTTTTTGTCATTCACACTGCATTGCCATTGATTTTTCAACTTCAGATCTGTGGATTGTTTTCTCTGTGTGTGTGTTTATGTTGAAGATTCATTGACTTCAGCAAAAACTGGAGGTGGGTTTTCTTTTTCAACTCCTTTTTAGTGTCCTAGTGTTGAAAATGAACATTCACATTCACATGACCCAGATGAGTTTTTGACCTAGTTTGTTATAAAGGTTTCATTTTTCATAAACCCTTTTCTTTTGGGTTGTTGAATTTCATTTTCCTTGTATAGAAATATTGGAAAAATATGTTGTTCATGTGATTGGGTTTTGTTTGTTTTCTGGGGTTTCTTGCTTGCCCTTTTTGCAAATTTTGCTTTTTTGGTTAAAAATTGATTCTAAGGTGTTGTTGGGGGAAGATCATGATGGGGAAGGTGATTGGGGAGGGAGTGTTGATTGTGCTGGTTTTGATGATAGTGAGTGAAAATGTTGAGGCTCAACCTAAGTCAATTCTTATCAACTGTGGTTCAAATTCTTCTGTGAATGTTGATGGTAGGAGATGGATTGGGGATATGGGTTCTAATAACAATGTTACCCTTAATTCTCCTGGTGTTGTTGCTTCTACTGATACATTAAGTGGGAATTCAATCTATGAGCCGCTTTATCGAATGGCGAGAGTTTTTACGGCTTCTTTGAATTACACAATCAGAGGAGTTCAGGGAAAGTATTTTGTTAGGTTTCATTTATGTCCCTTTGAGATTGTGGACCACAATGTGAATGAGTCCTCGTTTGGTGTTGTTGTCAATGGTATGAAACTTTTGTCGGAGTTTAATGTTGCGGGCAAGATATCCGAAAAGAATGTGAACTTGCAGAATTCAGGAAAGAATTCGAGTTTGTTCTTTATGGTTAAGGAGTATATTCTTGATGTCAATGATGGTTTGCTTCTGATTGAGTTTGTTCCGAGTAGAAACTCGTTTGGCTTCATCAATGCCATTGAGATTGTTCCGGTTGTTGGCGAGCTTTTTGATGGCTCGGTCGGTAAGGTTGGTGGTGGAAACTTGAATTTGGCTGGACATGGGATGGAGACCATGTATAGGTTAAATGTTGGTGGTCCTGAGATTCGATCCAATGAGGATCCTGATCTTCGGAGAATTTGGGAAGTTGATTCTAGCTATATGATCACGGAAAATGCCGGAGTAGGAATGAAGAACAGCTCTAATATTACATATGCTTCTGTGAATGATACTTCAGTAGCTCCTCTCCTTGTGTATGAAACTGCAAGGGCAATGTCCAACACTGAAGTCTTAGACAAGAGATTTAACATGTCATGGAAATTCGAAGTAGATCCTGATTTTGATTACGTTGTCCGGTTACATTTCTGCGAGCTGATGTATGATAAGTCAAACGAGAGAGTGTTCAGGATCTACATAAACAACAGGACAGCTGCGGATAATCTCGATATTTTTGTTCGAGCAGGAGGGAAGAATAAAGCGTATCACCAAGATCATTATGATTCCGCGTCGATGAGGATGGGCACGCTTTGGGTTCAACTAGGTCCTGATACCGCTGCTGGTGCTGCAGGAACTGATGCTCTCTTGAATGGTCTCGAGATTTTCAAGCTTAGTCGGAATGGGAATCTTGCCTATGTGGAGAGATACAACTCAGCTGGGAATTCGGGAAGCAAATCAAAATCTAAAGTTCTTTGGATTGGAGTTGGAGCAGGTATAGCTTCTGTGGCTATAATTGCGTGTATAGGTGTCTTTGTTTTCTGTTTCTGCAAAACGAGAAAAGAATCAAGTGATACCAAAAACAACTCTCCTGGTTGGCTACCGATATTCCTTTACGGAGGGGCTGCTGTAAACAGCACTGTAGGTGTCAAGGCATCAAATGGAAATCAGAAGTTATATGGATCTGTGGCCTCAACCGGAGCTGGTAAGCGGTTCACATTAGCTGAAATCAACGCTGCAACGAAGAGTTTCGACGAGAGTTTGGTCATTGGAGTTGGAGGCTTTGGCAAGGTGTATAAGGGAGAAATTGACGATGGTGTGCCTGCTGCAATTAAGCGTGCCAATCCGCAGTCCGAACAAGGTCTAGCTGAATTCGAGACCGAAATAGAGATGCTCTCAAAACTAAGACACCGGCATTTAGTGTCTTTGATTGGTTTCTGTGAGGAGAAAAGTGAAATGATTTTGGTTTATGAGTACATGGCAAATGGAACTCTAAGAAGTCATCTATTTGGAAGTAATCTCCCTCCACTAACATGGAAGCAGCGCCTCGAAGCTTGTATAGGTGCTGCAAGGGGACTTCACTACCTTCACACGGGAGCCGACCGAGGAATAATTCACCGAGATGTCAAAACAACCAACATACTGTTGGACGAGAATTTTGTAGCGAAAATGGCTGATTTCGGTTTATCAAAAGACGGTCCTGCTTTTGAACACACCCATGTTAGCACTGCTGTGAAAGGAAGTTTCGGCTATCTCGATCCAGAGTATTTCAGAAGACAACAGTTAACCGAGAAATCAGATATTTACTCTTTCGGAGTTGTTCTGTTTGAAGCTGTTTGTGCTAGAGCTGTGATAAACCCTACCTTGCCTAAAGACCAAATCAATCTTGCAGAATGGGCATTGAGATGGCAAAGAGAAAGATCGCTCGAAAAAATCATCGATCCACATCTCGAAGGAAATTATTGCCCCGAATCATTGTCTAAGTTCGGGGAGATAGCTGAAAAATGTCTCGCCGATGATGGTAAAAGCCGACCTACCATGGGAGAGGTGTTATGGCACTTGGAATATGTGTTACAGCTACATGAAGCTTGGCTCAACATGGACAACAACAATAACAATAGCACAGAAAATTCCTTCTCTAGAATTGAAGTTGGGAAAGAGCATTCAAATCAAGATGAAGAAGCATGACCTTATATTATATAGCTAAAATCCTCTACAGATTCTTTCTATTTGTTTTATTGAATTCAAGTTGTTTATTATTATCATTACTGCTTTTTAGCATCTGATTCATTATGTATACATGGTAATGGATTGCTTTTTGCATTGAGTTGCAACTGATTGTATTGTTACTGAGATCTTTCTTCTCAAAAGTTCATATCAATAGCTTCATCAGCGTCTTCTGTAAAGTATGTATTTTCATTTCTCTTTGTCTGTCATCTAAGGATCATGCTAACTATCTCAGCTTTTCAAACAGCTCAAAATTGTCAAGACCTAAGTGGAGAAAAGCATCCCTAATGTATTTTAATGTTGTGTTAAATGCATAAGTATAAGCACTAATCTACAATAATTAATCTTAAGAATAAATGCAAGACAGGAATTAATCTGAAATTCAATTTTTGAGGAAGGTAGAGGCACCTACAATTCAATAATCAATGGAATGTCAGACAAAAATGAAAAACAATTATCTAACTATTACAACTACATTAGACTTTTAGAACTTATAACCTTAATTAAGTCATTGTTTTCTAAAAACAATATGAAATCATATTTTTCACAAATCTAGGAAGTCATAAATATTATTTGTTTCACACCTGGTCTCTCAAGTCAGATCTATAGAAAAATCTCATAATGTGTTGATTGAGTTAGACTTGTATTAAGCGTTATGTGATTTTCATCATAGCTAATAATCTTCAATCTTAAGCGTTATGTGATTTTCTTCATAGCTAATAATCTTCAATCTTGAAACAAGAAGCTGCATTGTTGTGGTGCTCAACTCTAAAAACTAAGTGTGAGTGATAAATACAAGATAAATTAGGTGTTCAACTCTAAAAACTAAG